GATATTTGGGATTTGGGGATGGGACACTCTGGTATTCCCAGCGGGAATTTTGGGATATTTGGGATTTGGGGATGGGACACTCTGGTATTCCCAGCAGGAATTTTGGGATGGGACTGGGATTAGGATTAGTATTGGGATTAAGATTAGGATTGTGTGGGATTGGGATAAACTGGGATTTGGTTTGTATTGGGACAGGAATTAGGATTAGGCTTGGATTGGGATTAGGATTGGCATTAGGGTTGGGATTGGGATTTGAGATTGGATTAGGTGGGATTGGGATTATGATTGGAATTAGGATTGGAATTAGGATTGGGTGGGACTGGGATTTGAGATTGGATTTGTTGGGATGGGGATTGATTTGGATATGTGGGATAAGATTAGGATTACATGGGATTGGGATTAACTGGGATTTGGGTTGTGTTGGGACGGGAATTAGGATTAGGCTTGGACTGGGATTAGGGTTGAAGTGGGATTAGGTTGAGATTGGGGTTTAGGAGGATTGGGATTGGGATTGGGATTGGGATTGGACTGGTTTATGGTGGGATTGGGATTGGGATTAGAGAGCCCTTCCCACCCAAATTGTCCTGGAATTCCAGCCTGGAGCTGGGATCATCCCTGTCCATCCCAAACATTCCCACATTCCCAATAATTCCCAATATTTTTCCAGGGAAGCAGCTGGTGCCCTGCACAGTGGATTATCCCAATCCCAATCCCAAATTCCCAATAATTCCCAATATTTTTCCAGGGAAGCAGCTGGTGCCCTGCACGCTCCAGCCCCTGTTCCTGCTGGATTATCCCAAATTCCCAAATTCCCAATATTTTTCCAGGGAAGCAGCTGCTGCCCTGCACAGTGGATTATCCCAAATTCCCAATAATTCCCAATATTTTTCCAGGGAAGCAGCTGCTGCCCTGCACAGTGGATTATCCCAATCCCAAATTCCCAATAATTCCCAATATTTTTCCAGGGAAGCAGCTGCTGCCCTGCACAGTGGATTATCCCAAATTCCCAATCCCAAATTCCCAATAATTCCCAATATTTTTCCAGGGAAGCAGCTGCTGCCCTGCACAGGGGATTATCCCAATCCCACATTCCCAAATTCCCAATAATTCCCAATATTTTTCCAGGGAAGCAGCTGGTGCCCTGCACGCTCCAGCCCCTGTTCCTGGTGGATTCCAGCGCCGTTGACGTCACATCCGGGGACCTTCCCATCTTCTTCGAGCTGGGGGAGGGGCCGTGTTTCCCGGACGGGGACGAGTATCCCGAGGAATATCCCGAGGAATATCC